GAACTGAGAGGACAGGGCGAGCCCGCGCCAGGGGGCGCGCAATCGCGGCGCTGCTTCCAGTTCGACCACAACAAACGCCACGCCAAGCCCGGGCGCCCGCAATCAGCCCATTTCCATGGGCGCGAAGGGCCGCCGATTCAAATTGCGCCCTCGGAACCACTCCAGCTGATTGCGGGGGCGCCCCCTGCCTGCGCCCGGGGTCGCGCATCGCCGGTGCTGGGCCGCGCGAAGGAAGGGCATTCCGCGGACTTGGGAGAGCAGGAAAACAGACGTGACGGAGCTCATGGTGGAGACTTCGACGCCATCTCGCCCGTGCATGAGACGCCCGCGGCCATGTGCGAGATGCGCGAGGGGGGCGCTGCTGCGCGCCCGCTGTGGGGCGAGGCCTGGCGGGCGATCGCGGTCCAGATCCGCGCCTCCGCGTCGCTCCGACTACGTCGCGAGCGCGACGACGAACGAGAGCACCATTGCCACCAGCTGGCGCTACGATGAGGGGGCGAGGCCCACGGCGAAGGACCCACCTGCGCTCGCCAGTGAAGTCGTACCGCGACATCGCGCTGAAGGGGGCCGCGGAGGACGCGCGCCAGGCGGAACTACGACAACGGGAACATCGACCTTCGCTTGACCGGAGGGCCCGCCCGCTGGCCAAACCGAGAACAGGCCGGGCGACGTCGTCTTTCTAAGTTTGCGCTGACAGCAGGAAAAGACGACGACTGAGACTTCGGCGGGGGCGGCGACAGAAGGCGCAGCAGACCGCGTCGCGACGGCAGATCCATCGCCGTCAGGGCCATTGCCGGCGCGACGCGGCTGCGACGAGACGACGGCGGCGCCGCCGCCGCCATCGCCGCCGCCCCCCCCCCCCCCGAGCGACACGCCGCCGCCCCCGCCCTCGCGCCTGGGCGACCCGATTGGATATCGCATAATTCGAAGATGTCTTTTACCAGGACTGGCGCTGTGCGGAGCAGCTGAGATGCTGCCCCCGCGAAGATGGCGGGCGCGCGCCGAGCGCCGGGCGCCGCGTGCGCGCCCGAGGCGAGGCGCAGTGCACATAGGCAATTCTTACGCGACCCCCCACTTGAGGACGCTGCTAATTCGGACTGCCCGCGGCGCAATCGACGCGCCGCGCTAGTAGACGACGAGTTCAAGGGCGGCGGCGGCCGCTGCGAGAACCGCGTTGGGGGCGCGGATGATTCCCGAGTAGTTCGGCGCGAGCGCGCCAAGCGCAAACGCGCTGTTAAAGACTTCTCAATTGTGCCCAGCGGCTGTTCCCAGAGGCGCGCCCTACGGCTGCAGTCAGGCACCGCTATAGAGCGCCATGCCTGACGGCGCGCCCCCCCCTCCGGCCGTCGAAAGGTCTGTGCGCAAAATGCCGTCGCCATCTATGTCGACCCCGCGAAATTTGCAAAGTGCAACCTCCGCTCCGCGTTTCCGACGACGGCCAGGATGCACCTGCGCTAACGCGATGGCCCCCTGTCCCGTGGGGGGGGCAGCCGGCAGTTGCTCCGCGGGCATCTGGGCGCCGGCGCACGCGTGGGGACTTCTTTTATTCCGCGGCCACCTGCTCGCGATGCGCGCAAGAGCATCGCATTGCCATGATAATCCAGGCCGCGTTCATTAGGAGGCCCAGTCCAGCGCCGGAGCCGCGCCCCCCCAACCGAAGAAATTGCCGCAAATGCCTGCGAGACCTCCTGGGCCATTGGCCCCGCCGCCGTCGCGGGAACAGGAACAGCGCGCGGCCAATGTTGCAGATCCTGTGGGCATGCCGGAGCAGACGCCTCAACCGCGACCTGGAGATGCCGATCCTTGTCAAGCACGTGAACCCCTGGGCGCGATACTTTCATGCGAGCCCAATGCCGACTGGAGCTCGAGGGCGCGCTGGGATAAATCCGCCCGAGCACCGCGAGATCGCGCTGACTTGGTGCCCCGATGTTCTGGAGCTGCTCGGGGTTCCTCAAGGCGCAGTGCGTCGGCAAACGCGCGCGCCGACGCCGCGCGCCAGGCGCATCTACGCGGGTGGCAGCTACATGCCAACGGATCCAGACCGAGCTGCTTGGAGTTGCGCCGCGATCGTTTCCAACGCCAAAGGTGAAGAACCAGGCAGTTGCGCCCGCGCAGCGTGCATCACTGCCAATGTTGGGGACTCCATGGTCGGCGACCCGCAGATCGCGTCAAGAACGCCATCGAAACTCTGTTACATCACATATGCAATGCTGAACGCCGACGCTCGCGCAGGCCGACGGCATGAACCATTGCGCGATGCATTGCGACTCGACGGTCGCGATGCACCTCGCAACGGTAAAGACCGGCCAAACTCAAGCCATGGAACAGTGGAGCCTGCCAAAGCACTGTGCGAACATATCCGCGTATCCAAGTACATCGACACCCTTGGGAAGAAGGTGCGCGACGAAATCATGCGGGCGCGCGGGCGCGAAATGTGCAGCGGCAGCCAACAGCGAACACAATGGCGTACAAACCCTTGAGTACATGGAGCTGCCCCGTCTCGCACTGGACACTTAGTGGCAAAGGATAATGCGCGCGCATGAGCAAGACAGAGCTACTCACCAAGAAAGCGGCACGACGAGTTATATATATATATGTATATATATGCATGATTCCGCGACATGTCGAGGAATCACACGTGCGATCGCCGCCCACCGCGCGCAAGGTGAAGGCGTGCATGTGGCTCTCGCCTTTGCTCTGCTTGTGCCCATGGTCACCAGCGCCGCTCGGGAGCAGCTGCTGCTGCACAGTCCCAGAGGGCACACTTCCTCACCAGAGCGTGGTGTCCATGCCACTTGCTGAGCCCCGGGATAGTGACAGCGTGCGCCAACAATGGATCACCAGGGGACGAGAACGTGGGTTGTGCCTGCCATCGATCGCTGAGCTGCCAGAACCCGTCTGGTGCGCGCGGCAACCACCCTGGCAGGGTCCCGCGCGTGCAGTCCGGCGCCCGGCTGTTTAGGCAACTGCTTGAGCGATCGGCTTTCCTCAACCTTCTCATCCACTTCAGAGGATCCTGCCCTTCCTCCTCGTCGTCCTCCTCCACCTCCTCCTCGTCGTCCTGCTCCCCTTCCTCCTCCTCCTCCTTCTCCTCCTCCTCCTCCTCCTCCTCATCCTCCTCCCACTTCCCCCTCCGCCCACCTCCTCTTCTTCTTCCTCCTCCTCCTCCTCCTCCTCCTCCTCCTCCCCGCCTTCTCCTCCTCCTCCTCCGCCTCCTCCTCCTCCTCCTCTCCGTCCCTCCGTCGCTGCTCTGGCCCGAGGGCGCCGGCCAGGACAAGAAGGCCCTCAATTGCGAACTACTTTCCCCCCCACCCCAACAGATCGCAGAGATGGCGACCGTGCTCCGAGCCTCTGCCGCTGCCGCGGCGCACGCGCTCCCGCGCGCGCGCGGCGCCGTCCCGCGCTGGCTCTCGCGGGGGGGGCGCAGGGCATCACCTCTCGGCCACGCGCAGAGGGTGGGTACCCAGACCCCCGCGTGCTGTGAACGAATCGCGACGGGAGGTTCGTCGGTATTTTATGCTTCTGGGGACCCTTTACGGGGCCTCGGGAACGTCGTAGAACGATTCAGGGTGAAACGCCGGTCCCAGTGAAGGGGTCCAGACCTCTGGGGGTCAACGTTGCAAAAAAAGACCGGACGCCAGGGGTCTGGGTATGGGGGAGGGGGGGGGGGCTTCTCGGAAGCACCCCTGCATCTCAGAAGGCGCGGGCATTCTCTACAAATGCTTCAGCAGCCTCCTAAGCAGCAGCCTCCTTCTGAGAAGCAGCCGCCTTCTGAGAAGCCCTACCCCCTCCCACTATCCTTAGGTCGGGCGTGTCCCCCTGCAGGCGGATTTTGGACGAAAAATGAAAATATACCCCCAACATGTTCAAACATATTGCAAAAAAAGGTCAAACAAATCATCCCCATACATTTTTTGACTATTTTTGAATTTTCCTACTGTAGAGGGACATGCCCGACTTAACCCTATCCCCTTTGCGAGCCGCCCACCGGGGCCGGGACCACTGGCTTAACCAGCGGTGCTGGCCTGATTTTTTGCGTCTTGGGCCAGGCCCCAACGCCTTCAAGACGGCCGAAGAGAGGCGCCCAACAGAGCCCCAGGACGGCCCGTCGGGACCAGCTCAGTGCATGTCGCGAGCTGGCATTCCGAACCGCCCTCGAGAGGCTTCGGGGAAGGCATTCGCCACGCCCCAGCAACGCCGAGGACCCGCTGGAGCTCGGCGGTCCGTCCCCCTTGGCAGGAGCTGTGCGTTCGGAGGCGCAGGCCCGTGATCGGTGCAGTGTCCGGGCGCTGGCCGGTATGTCGGCTGGATTCCATCGTGTATACGGGATGTCGCGGTCGGCGTGGGGGGGGGGGGGAAAGGCGCGCGTCCTGGGGCCCCAGAGGGGGCCAGAAGCTCATCCGTACACGCGTTGGCAGGCGCCCGCGCGTGCGCGCGGGGTGGGTCCGCGCGCCCAGGCGGGGGTCGCAGGTGCGCGCGCGCGGCTCGACGGGGCGTCCGCGCGCCGCGGCGCCGCGCAGGCGACCGCGGCATGCGCAGGACGGGCGGGCCCGCTGCCTTGGCTGCCGCTGCGTTTGCCTCCGCGAGCGCGGCCGACCTCGACGGGGAATCGTGACTGGTCCCCGCGCGCAGGCGCTCCTTGGCCGAGCCGGCCTGGCGGGCATGTGCACGGACCCCTGGCCTGGAGGACGGCTCGGCTTGGCTCGGTGTGCAGTCCCAGGCACCAGCGGGTCGACTTTCGAGACCTGAGCTCTCGACGCGTTCCACGGGGCTGTTTTTTTCGTCGCGAGTCCTCAATCGACGGTTCCAGCCCAGGGCTCCGAGACAAGCCACTGGAGGCCCAAAACCAAGCTGCGAGACCGAACGCCTCAACCCTTTTCGAGCGGCGGGTGTCTGGAACTGGTGCCCTCCTCACCCCTCGAGGCCCAGGGCGGAAACAGTGTGCAGACACGCCCCCAAATCTCGCCCGTCGCCCTTCGATGTGTTTGTCGCCATTCCAGGCTCGCCTCCGTCCACGGCGGCCGCGCCAGCGTCGCGGGCGGCCTCTCCGCGGGGGCGGCGGCGGCGGCGGCGGCGGCGCTGGTGGCGTGCTCGCAGTCGGGGGCGGCCGGCGTTGAGGAGGAGGAGGGGCTGGGCGGGCGGTGCGCCGCACGCGCGCAGGCCCACGTCTCCGAGGCGGGGGGGTGGGGGAGGTCAGATCGAGGCCTCCCAGACCCTGTCGTTTCGCAAAGAAATCGCGCCGAGGTATACGTCGCTACTTTCGGCTTGCGGGGGCCCTTACAGGGCCCTGGGACCGTCAGAAAACGACTCAGGATGAGAAGCTGGTCCCGGGGAAGGGGTCCAGACCTCTGGGGGTCGACGCCGTGATAAATTCACGACGTCGGGGGTCTGGGCTCCCAGGTGGGGTCCGAGTAGATGGTGATGGAGGATTGCGCCGTATCGCCGATGCATCGACAATGTTGTAGATGTGGAGCCCGAGTCTCTCCATGCTGACGTCGCCGATGCATCGCCGGCGTCGCCGATACATCGCCGATGCATCGGCGATGCATCGGCGATGCGGCGCGATCCTCCGACCCCATCTACTCCAGCCCCATCAGGAAGGCCTCTAGGGGAGCTGGAGGCCCAGACCCCTTCGCATCGTGAAGGAAAACGCAACGGGCGGCTCTTGCTCTGCCCTAGGGCGCCCTCGCCAGGGCCCCGGGGCCGCCATGAAAACGGCTCGGGATGGAAACGCGGCCTGGGGGAAGTGGCCCGGGCCGGCGTTGCGACAGAATCACGACATCGGGGTTCTGTCGGCAACACGTACGAGTGACCCTGCGCACCGGAGTGTCCCTTTGTGCGGGCCTCACGGGCTCCCCCGAGGCACGGGCCTGCGCGCTTGGATTTGGCCTACCCGCGGCTCACCAAAGATCACTCTTACCCAGGGCCGCTCTGGCGTGTTGCCGAGGGTTCTGGGGAGCAGAGGCCCCCCGGAGCTCCAGGCCGCTTAAGCTGGGGCCAGTTGGTGGGGTCGGGGTGTGCCGCGTCGCAGATGCATCGGAGATGCAGCGCGGCCTTGAGCCTGATTTTCTCCACCGCGACGTCCCCAGCGCATCGCTGGTGCATCGGTGATACGGCGCCGTCCTCCGCCTCCTTGTGCTGCAGCACCACTGTGGCGGCGTCCAGACTGTTGGAGCAAAACGTAGCATGATGTTGCCTATACCCTTTGCCCGTGTTCGCTTTGTTGGGCTTTCTGGGAAACCCTCCTCGCCACGACTGGATTCGCCCACGTCTCTAAGGCAGCAGACGAGGAGGTCTGAGAGGGAGCTCAGGAGCATCGAGGAGGACGACAGGGTATTGGGAACGAGGGGGATATCTTCTGGTGCGCATAGGTGGTGTCGGTCCCGCCGCTGGTCGCAGTCTTCGATGCATGGTCGTTCCAGGCGCCTCGTGGCGCTGGGAAACCAGCTGCGTGCAGCTGATTCACGACCCCGCCATGTTGGCCTCCCCCTCTGATCCACCCCGAAGGGACCGAGGAGGTCCGAGAGGGCATGACAAGGCCAGGATCGGAGCCCTGGTCTTGCACCAAAGACTTGGCACGTGGTATTTACGGTGCTCGTCGGATTGTCGTGGCCTTGCTCTCTTCCCTCCCCTCTCTCTCTCGTTTTGTTGTTGTCTTGTGTTCACTGTTGTTTATTGGGTTTTAATGTATATGTATAGATCCTTCTCTTTCTCCTTCATGTTGTGTTTTCTCTCTCTCTCTCTCTATCTGTGTCTCTTTGTCTATGTTTTTTTGTGTTTGTGTCTCTCTCTCTCTATATATATCGTTTCCCGTACGCACGGCTGCCGGGTGCTAGCGAGGGTGCTGGGCCTCTGCCGCCGCCTGGCCGGCCTGACACTGAAGATCTCGAAGTGCAAGTGCGTGCCGTTGGGAGGGCCGTTGGATGACGGCAGGCGCGCTGCCGCGTTGGCATGCCTTGCCGCGGCCGACGCGGCCTGGGCAGCGTTCGACATCGCGGAGCAGTTGCTGTACCTCGGCGTCATTCTCGGTGTCAACGTGAGCCTGGAGACGCAATGGGCGCCGCAGCTGGCGGCGTGGCGCGAGCGCGCCGGGGCAATCTCGAAGACGGGTTCCTGCTTCTCCACGGCGACGGCGCTGTATCACCGGCGTGCTATCCCCGTGCTGGGCTACAAGGGCCAGCTCTTGCCGCTGCCGTGGAGTCTCACGCGCGACGAAATGCATATCCACAGCCGCCTTTTTCATTGGCCTGCCAACTCGCTCACCCGAGCGGATTGGCACGTCCTGGAGGACTTTGGCGCGCCCGCCCTGACCTCTGCCAACGTGTACGTTGCTGCCGTGCGCCTGCGGGCGGTCTTGACCACGCTGGCGGGGTGGGAGGCCAACTTGACGCTGCTGCGCCGCTCGGCGAAGGCACACCTGCCGACCGCCGTTTCTGCGCAGGGGCGCTGCACGGCATCGTGGCGCAGCGACGTGCCTCTGGTCCTCCACCTGCGGGCGGCCTCGGAGGGCCTGGACGATTCACCAAAGCTGTACGCGGCGGGCCTGGCGGCGCTGGACCACGCGCGGGAGCTCCTGCAGCCCCGCTCCGCGGCCGTGGACGGCGGCTCCCTGGCGGCGCCCGGCGGCAAACTGCGCCTGCAGGGGGCGCTCCTGCGAACGCTCCACACCAGCGTGTTCACCAACGACCTGGCCTCGACGATGACCAGGCGGATGAGGCGCTGGCATCCCTCGGTGGAGACCCCCGAGGCGCTCGACTGGGGGGCGCTGGCCGGCGACCTCCGACGCTTGCCGCAAGCGTGGCGGATGACATTACTGCGGACGTGGGCCGGGGCCTGGCCGACGGCGGTGCGACTCCAGTCGCGTGACGAACCGTGCGTCTTCGGCTGCCCAGCGGGGGCCGATTCCATGGTGTACTATGACGAGTGCCCGCGCCTCCGCGGCGCCGCAGAGAGAGCGCTGGGCCACGCGCTCGCCCCGTCTGCGCACGAGCGCCTGGCTCTAGACACTGGGGCCACGGAGCCCGAAAAACGGGAGAGGGCCCGCGACGTCGTGCTGATGTGCCATCTCCACCGAGTGGTCTCCCATTGCCACTCGTCCTCGCCCCCCTCCCCTCAGACTTTAACCGATGCTGGTTTTGCCGCGCGCCAAGCCACGGATCGGGCAATTGGCCGGTTCCGCCGGCCTCGATAGTTGCAGCAGACCTTTGCGAGAACGGTGGCGTATCGCTTCCCGTACGCCATGGAGGAGCAGGCGAAGGCGGCCCGCTCGCTCGTCGCTAGCGTGTGCGCCACAGGTGCCGACGTGCAAGCCCTCAGCGCGGCGGCCCTCGGTGGCTACCATAAGGCCCTCCGCGCCGCACTCCGACCTGCAGGGCGCCACTGGCTGTGCTTCTGGCTGATCGTGGCGGCATGCGTCCATGGCCACGCCCTCGAGTTGCAGGCTGTCGTGCAGAGAGAGGGTCCCCGCCGCGGCTCGCCGACAGTGCCTGCTCGGCACCAGCTCTTGCGACGCCTTCTGCTGCGCTCCATGGTGGCGGCCCCCTCAGGAGCTGATGGCAAGATTTCGACCAGTCGGACTGGACTTGGCCCTCGTTCGCCGCACTCCAAACGGGCTGGGGGGGCGCAGTCCGCAGGGCTGGCCAGCCCCCATCCCCAGGGTTGGCCTCCTGCAAGTGCTGCGGGCGGCGCAGCGTATGGCGCGTCTCCGGCGCATCCCAGCCACGCGGGCCGACATGGGCTCCGCCCCCAGCGTCAAACAGGGCCGTGACATGAACGCTACCACCTGGCCACCAAGAGGGCAAAGGCTCGCCTCACCGAGCGGGCGCGCAGGTTGCCCCACGATTCTAAACGCTTCGCGCAGCCCCACCAGCCCATCCAGAAAGGCGATGGAGGAGGAATCGGAGGAGGAGGAGGGTGAGAGGGGATGGGGAGGAGGGAGGAACGAGGAGGGATGAGGGAACAGGAGGAATAGGCGGATGATGATAATGATGATGATGATGATGATGATGATGATGATGATGATGATGATGATGATGATGATGATGATGATGATGATGATGATGATGATGCCGATGATGATGATCATGATGATAATTATGATGATGATGATGGTGATGATGATGATGATGATGATGATGATGATGATGAGAAGGAGGAGGAGGAGAAGGAGGTGGAGGGGGAGGAGAACGAGGAGAAGGTTTGGCCCAGGGCACCAGATTCTCGAGTCCCAGAGCGGGACCCTTTCTGTGTAGTGTGCATTCCTGGCCGAACTTCAGGCGTGCAAATATAGGCATTCCTTTTGTTTACTACCTTTGTGCCGAGACCGTAAATACGGCTAAGGAGCTCATCTGGCATCGCATGGAAAGCGAGCGCAGAGATCGTTCCAGGCTCCTCTTACGAGCTCTGGCAGCGAGAGAACTCTTACAGTTGCCTCACGGCTCTAACGCGATGGCTAGACACAACCAACGAGCTCGCGACAGCGGGCCAGAATTCAAGTGCGATTACTTAAAGTGTAGAAGGTTTGTCAGAGGACACAATTGGCGTTGCGTGTGAGGACACAGTTATGGTGTCAACCAGAGAGAGGAGCGAATTCAGCCGGGAGGCCCCTTTGCGCAGGCGCAAGCAGCTCGTTCCAAACAACAGCGCCGTGAACCGAGTCGACCGCGTGCTCGCACAAACTAGATGCAACCATCCCACCAGATCATCAAGCGTACTATCCCAGCTTCCAGAGCAGATGCGATGTGTCGTTCTGATGTCGTCGAGCCGCCTACAGACACCAAGGAACTCAAGATATTCAAGATCACTACCAAATATCGCATGCACAGGTTTGTTTCGATCGTGATTGCAGCCGAACGTAACTAACATACATCACGAGGATGTTCATATATATATATATATATAGAGCGGGGGAGAGAGAGAGAGAGAGAGAGAGAGACAATCTATAGAGAGAGAGAGATACCATAGAGCGCGAGAGAGAGAGAGAGCGCTTGCAATACTGAAGATGATATACTCAAACACCGAAGCATTCACACGCCAGCTCAATGCCTTCAGAACCAGTCAAGGTAATGCGCTCAATCGACTCGGTACTATCAAGAACAAGGCCGCCGAGCTCATCAGTATAAAGAAGTTGGTCGACGGCGAGCATGCTAATATCAGATCAAACATCGCAGAGCTGAAAAGCCTCGATGCGCAGCAAGATGACGACATGGACGACGTAAGTGATCAGCCTCAAGGGCAGCACAACATGTCAGCATAACACGTCTTCGCGAAGGGCTATGTGAACGAATGCGTCCGTGACGAGACAATGCTCAGCATGTGCTGCTCTGCTCCCCCACCGACAGTGCCACCTCCAGCAGCCACTACCAGAAGGTGCAGCGCCTCCACCGCCGCTGCACATGGGCCCAGGCAGCACTCAACAAGTGCCACCACCGCCGCCCTTCACGCCGACCGTAGGCCGTGGCATGAACGATATCACTGTGTGGTGCACGCAATGATGGAGGCCTAAAAGCAGCAGCAGTTCCGCTTGGAAGCGTTTCATGTCGGGGGGACTGCTGCACCAGTGGCTGCGATCCACCTACAGCCAGTGACATCGGCCGACGCAGCCATCGTGATACTTCTGCCGGGGCTAAGCCCTGTTGCGGCCACTCCGCCAGCGAAGAGATGACCTGCGTTTCCCCCGCCACATGGGGTTCACGACGGTCCACCGAGATTCGCAACTCCATCGACGTTTCCGCCAGCGAAGGCCACGCCGATAGGAGGACATCCTTCGCCATCGCCGCAGATTCCCGTTGCGACGGCACCTGTGGCAAGCACTCCAATCGTTCTTGGCCCTGGTATGAAGAAGCAGAAGGGTTCTACGCCATCCGCGGCAGCCAGTTGGACATGGATCTCAGCCCCATCTGAACGCCCGACAATTCAAGAGTAACTCGAGGAGGAAGAGGTCATCCCTACGGCCGACCTGCCGACCTGGGGCTACTGGCAGCCACCCAGCCCATGGCCAACATGCAGGTGGACCCGCACTTGCAGGCCCAGGCCGTCTCCGTGACAGAGGTCATTCATCTCATTACGCCATCGTCCCAGGAGGACGCCGAGCACGACGAATCAGCAAAGAAGGAGAGCGAGGAGGACACCTAGACCAAGAGACCTTTCCGCAAGGAGCACCGGCTGGCTTGAGCTCCACTTCCCCGCCAACAGGAGCTGACTAGGGCTAAGCTGTCAACTGGGGTAGGAATTCGATTGCCTTCTATCGAACTGATGGGATCCCCCAGGTCGCTCCTTCTGCTCCCCAGATGAGGCCGACGAGGTCCCCTCTTAAGAGCTCCTCTCCTCCCCCTACGGGCCGCTCCCATAATGGTTACGGGCCCGAGTGTTGTAACTTCTCTTTGGTGGACGGAGAGGTGTCGGACCAGCGCCCGGTTGCAAGTATTTCTCAGCCCCGCCACCAGAAAGGGTGCGTGAGTGTACTGGTGCCTCCGAAGCACACATCTGATGGGAGGGACCAGCCGAGTACAGTACGTAGGGCCCTTCGGGATGGGCCCAGCCGAACGCAGTACGTGTGGTCTCTCCGCACCGCTGAGTTGTCCTCGGTGCTGGCGCCCTGGCCCGAACACCCGGGCAGCCGTGCACCCTCTCGGCACCGTTGCAGGGCGGGGCCCTGGCCCAGTGCCTCCGTGCTCAGGGCTGGGCGCCTGGCTTCTCTCGGCCTGGACGGCGCGCCCTGCGGAGGTGTGTCCTGCGACTTGCATGGCGCGCCGTCTTGGCCGTGCTCTGCCGTGAGGCTTTTTTGTCGTTTCGATTGTCCTCGGCGTCCCTCTCGCCTCTGGGGGGGGTACCTGTGGTGCCGCATGCTGTAGGCCTGTGTAGCCCCGTGAAAGAGGTTTCCCAGGTTCTTTTCGGCTGCGGCGCGCCGCTTCAGTTCCAGCCCACGAGCGGGGCCATCTGAGGGCATGCACTTCAGTGACCTGGACACCTGTCCGAACCGTGCACTCGTTATCTCTGTCTGTCTGTCTGTCTGCCTACCTGCCTGCCTGCCTGCCTGCCTGCCTGCCTGCTTGCCTGCCTGGCTGTCTATCTGTCTGTCTGTCTGTCTGTTTGTCTTTTTGCCTGTCTCTCTCTCTCTCTGTTTCTCTCTGTCTGTCTGCCCCTAAACAACTCCGCGTTGGACGAGGAAAAAGAAGCGGACCTGAAAAGGCGAGGTTGGAATTTGACGTTTATCGGCGTCGCAGGGCCTCCTTGAGGGTCCTGGTTGCAAAGGCCGCGGCTGGGTTTCCCTTGACATCCCGGCTGGAGCGCATGCCAGGAGAGGCCTGGGAACATTTCTTAAGGAAGGGTTCCGCACAGCACCCAGAGGGTAGCACGTTGTTCCGAGTTTTGAGACAAGGGTTCCCATGGGGGCTCTTGATGTCTGCGTGGCACCCTGAAGCTAATTAGACGAGCTGCGCCGACACGGATCTGCTAACAGTCGTGAGTGGATATGGAAAGGTAGGGGGCCAAGGATCGACGAGGGTCATGTACAGAGTTTAGCCTTCCTCCGTGAGTCCTCGGTCGTTCTTTTGAAGAGGGAGGAACTCGAAAGACAACACTTGCATGGGCTCCATCAAATTATCCGGGCGAAGGACCCAGTCATCCTGGCGAAAGACCTGTGTAGCTCTTGTTGGGGCCCCGAGGCGTGCGAGGAGTGTGCCGACATGGGCGGGGTGATGCACAAAGGAGCTGTCACTGGGGCCTTCGGCGACGCTCCCTCTAGGGCCACGAAGCGTGTGAGTGGTGTGCCGAAAAGGGCGAGGAGACGCGGGCGCTGCCACTGAGGCCTTCGGTGGAGCACCCCGCGGGGCCACGAAACGTGCCAGGTGTGTGCCGGAATGGGCGGGGGGACGCATGCGGGCGCGGCCGCTGGAGGCTTCGGTGGAGGGGCGCTGGCGTGCCGAAATAGGTGGGGGGACGCATGCGGGCGCTGCCACTGGGGCCTGAGGCGGAGCTCCTTGTGGGGCCCCGACGCGTGCGAGTGGTGTGCTGACATGGGCGAGGAGACCGATGCGGGCGCTGTCACTGGGGCCTTCGGCGGAGTTCCTTATGGGGCCCTGCGGCGTGCGATGTGTGTGTGTGTGTGTGTGTGTGTGTGTGTGTGTGTGTGCGTGTAGGTGTGTGCCGAAATTGGCGAGCAGACGCATGCGGGCGCTACCACTGGGGCCTTCGGTGGAGCTCCCCATTGGGGCCCCGAGGCGTGTCAGGTGTGTGCCGAAGTGGGCCGGGGGGGGACGCATGCGGGCGCTGCCACTGGGGCCTTCGGCGGAGCTCCCCCGTGAGGCTACGTAACGTGTGCGGTGTTCGCCGGAATGGGCGGGGGGGCGCATGCGGGCGTTGCCACTGGGGCCTTTGGCGGAGCTTCCGATGGGGCTGCGAAGCGTGTTAGGGGGGTGCCGGAGCGGAGACGCGCGGAGGGCAGAGGCAAGGGTGCGAGGAGGGGGGGGAGCAGGGAAGGAGATTGCGCGCGGCGCTGCAGCCTCAGGATGGGCGGGAACAACAAGGATGCACCGACAATTCAGCACGGTTAGCTCCAGAGTGAAGAACCTTTTCTCGGGATGAGTGGTCAGACCTTCAGTTCAAGGAGAGTTACATGTGGAGGTGTGAAAACATGGGTGAAGGGTGGGAAGTGGGAGTCTGGGATGCAGACTATGTTGTTAACCCTCTTGGGTGGACTTGGCGTGCACCCGCGTGGGAGGGGTGGACTCCTCAGATACCCTGCCTGGATCCTGAATTCAACCCTCTCCAGTGAGGTCAAGCCCGCTGCGCCCCTCCTGGTCTTCCAGACAAGGGTGCGGCAGGTCGTCAGGGGCGGCGATGTCAGGAACGCCAGCGATTGGGTGCTCCAGGACCTGGCCCTGGACCAGGGTGGCAACCTCTGCTGCACCGGCAAGATGGCCGACGCCGTGTGCTACACACGAGAGGACCTCGCGAAGGCATCGGTGGAGGCTCTACCAGAGGATGCCGCATGCATGCCATTCTGTTTCTGTGTCCAAGTGCCGGGCTCCCAGCCGATGTTCTTCGCAGCATCCTCGTCCGCCGTCCGGAATTTGTGGATACAGGAATTGGCCAGTGTGGCGCAGACGGCTTCGGCCTAGGTTCCACTCCACGTGTACATACATTTACATGAGCAGATTTTGAGCATGGTTGCATTTTTTCCATGCGCCAAGTGAGGGCAGACAATATGGCAGCCTATTCGGATGCGACTTTGGTATGTCGTTCTGATTCAGCAGTCTTCTGCGTGCTCTCAGCGGCTCGGTGCGTGCAACCCTTCTCAGGCTCACAAGCCGCATTGGTTTGGACGAGCGCAAAGTAGCCCGTGCCCAAATCTCCCCGCGTTCTTCATGAAGTCAGGCGAGGTCGAGTCTCGCTAGTTGCAAGTTGGATTCCCTCAAGTGGGCGTCTTTACTACCATAGTTTCGCTCTTTGCATGAAGGTTCTCGCGGCCCCGATGGTTTTCCTTTCTCCGCAACGGGGCGCCATAGCTTCTCCATCGGAGGTGAGTGCCGCTTGACAGCTTCCCCTCCTCACCACAGTCTCCTCGCCTTCCTCATGCTATATGCGTCCTCCTAGTACTCTTGCTCATCATGATTTGTCTGTCACTCTTGCCCGTCCTTCTCTTCCTGTTTTTCCCCTCTTCGTCCCCCCCTCCTTGCCCTCCTGCTCATTGTCCCACTTCATCAGCGACACGTAGTCGGTCTTGTGACCGTCAGCGTTAGCCGCTGTATGGATTTTTCAGGTGGCATACTTGCCTGCGATGGCCCCATGTCAGGTCGATCAGATCCTCCGCCTCATCGCATCCTTCTCATCGCCACTGGCTCCTCCGCATGTTCCTCCCTCTCGCAGGGGCGATGGCGGTCCCGGGGCAGGACAGCCTGCCGACTCCAGAGTCGCATCTCTAACGTTGGCATCACGTCATTGGGGCCTTGATGTAGGAAAAAACATTGTCCTCCTCCTCGTTCCTCCTTCCTCCTCTCGGGCGGGGCAATGGGACGGCCGCGGTGCCCGCTACATTCTCCAGGGCCGCCGAGTCTCAGAGATTGTAGTGGCCTCCGGCCAGTGCCGCCGATCCGGGGGCGCTCCGACTGATGTGATCCTCCTTCGCCCTCGTCCTTCCTCTCTTTTTCCCTCCCTCCCCTTCTCACTCTGCATTTATCTAGTGGCCTTCGGTCTATCCCACCACCGTGCCTGGGTGTTGGGTCAGAGGCCTCATGGATGTTGGTTGGGATCTCGTGGTTGGCCTCTTCGGGGCCTCTTGGAGGCAGTTTTGAGGCCCCCTCGGGCCTCCAGTTGCGGGGCTTCTTGGGGCGAATTTGGTGCCTCTTGGGGGCCTCGTTGGGGCCTCTTGGAGCATTTTGGGAGCCTCTTGGGAGCTTCTTGGGGCCTCTTGGGGGCCTCTTGAGAGCTTCTTCGGGCGGGAGGGGGGGGTACTCGAGTTCAGGACCTTCTCGGAGGCCACGATCATCGTGAGGGGTGTCAAAACATACCCTCCCCAGAGACACGCGGGTAGCCGCGACAAGCCCTAGGAGCCCACTTGAAAGCGGAGCACAACTCGTCCCCCCCCCCCCACTCCCCCCCTTTCCCGGCAGAGCCCCCCCGGCCCCCCCCCCAGCAGAGCTGAAGCTCAGGTTGTAGGCTGTAGGCTGTAGCTGAGGCTTTTTCAAACTCACACGCCAGATCGGCGAATTTCCAATTCATCCTCGTCCACAGTGATCCTCGCCCTGGCTTCGTCGTGCCCTCCTCACCCGCCACGTCGCCACTTGCTCAGTAATATCAAGTCGGGCCTGTTCCTCTACAGGAGGAGTATTCAAAAATAGTCAGAAATAGTTTTTTGTTATATATTTTTATATATATATGTATATATATAGATATATAAAAAATGAGAATAATTGTTTGACCATGTTATTTGGGGTGTTATTGGTTGTTCTTTTGTATTTTCCGTCCACGATTCGGCTCCAGGTGGACATGCCCGACCTAACACTTGCTCAGTAATGGGACCTCTGTCCTTCTCTCTCTCATCGGGAGCGGCCATGCCGCAGGCCGTCCCTTCCCGTGCTGTGGGATAACTCGGGCTGCGCGCCCGTGGAAGAAGGGGAGGAGGAGAAGGAGGAATAGCAGGAGGAGGAGGAGGAATAGCAGGAGGAGGAGGAGGAGGAGGAGGAGGAGGAGGAGGAGGTGGAGGAAGGAAGGAAGAGGAACAGGTACCCATGCCGCAACCCTTCCCTCGTTTTCGCCTTTTGGGACTTTCTGGAAGGTCCTCGTCGCCACCACTGGATTCGCTTCGAAACTATAGTCAGAACGCGCCCTGGGAGAGGTCCTGGGGGGAGGAGGGTTGTTTTGCTGCTAGAACTACGCGAGCAACTCTTGCTTGCCATATACATATGTGAAGTGGTGGGGTCGCGGGCACACTAGAAAGGTGCTTCTGCAGACCCCGCAGTTCAGTCAACCACCCTCTTCCAGAAGTCGTCCAGCTCTACCTGCACAAGGGAGGAGGAGAAGGAGGATGATGAGGATGAGGAGGAATAGGAGGAGAAGGAGGAGGAGGAAGAGGAGGAGGAGGAGGAGGAGGAGGAGGGAGGAGGAGGAGGAGGAGGAGGAGGAGGAGGAGGAGGCGAGGAGGAAGCATCGACCCCGGCCGCGGGCTCCCGCTGCGGTCCCGAGGCGCGGCTCCACGGGTGACGCGCGTTCGCGGTGCGAGAAATGAAGGGCGCATCGACGCGGCCGTGCGGAGGAGGGCGAGGCCCTGGAAGCACAGGCACGGCAACGAGCAGTGGCACGATCGTGAGGGCGCTCCCGGGGCCCGCGCGGACTTCCTGGGTCGGCGCCGGACCCTCCCTGGCAGCGCCGCCGGCGCCGCTCCCGGCGCGCGTCGCGCGCCCAGGGCGAGGCGGCGCCAGCGCTGGCCCGGGAAGCCCGCGGTGGCCTGCGGGAGCTCCCGCGCTCGTGCGGCCTCGGGCGCTCCCGGTCGTCGGCCGCCACGCCTCCCGCGAGGTGCCACCGCGACGCGCTGAGAGTGCACCTCGGGGGCGGCCTGCTGGCCACGATCCTCGGCCACCTCCACCAGGACGGGGGGTGTCCGCCCCCAGGGCTGGAGGGACATGGTGGGAAAGGGGAGGGGGGTGGGGGTTCGAGATCTGCTGCATGCAGCTGGAGTCCGCCCCGCCGCCAGGCCCATCCCTTGATACATGGGCGCCTCCCGGCGCCAGGAGGCGCCAGGAAAACCAGCTAGTTAAGCTGATTCTCTGCCCTGCCCTGTGCTGGCCTACCCCTTCGTCCCTCCCGAGCCTTAAATCGGGCATGTCCCTTTGCAGGAGAAATATTCAAAAACAGGAACATATGGGGACGATTTTTGATTAGCTTTCATAATTTATCCCAACCCTCCTTGGTTGGGTATTCGTTTTGAATACAGCAGTGTGGTCTCCACTCCTTCCCGCCTCCCTCTTGCCTCCACCTGTCTTGCCTGCGGGGGGCTGCGATCTGTGAAACTGTCGCGATTTGTGAAACTGTCGCCACTTTCGAGGCCTGCTGGGGGGCTCAGCACAGTGACGCCACGGGCGGATTCAAATTAGACCTCGCCATCCCTGGGGGGCTGCGATCTGTGAAACTGTCGCCACTTTCGAGGCCTGCTGGGGGGCCCAGCAAAGTGACGCCACGGGCGGATTCAAATTAGACCTCGCCACTTTCGAGGCCTGCTGGGGGGCCCAGCACAGTGACGCCACGGGCGGATTCAAATTAGACCTCGCCATCCCTGGGGGGCTGCGATCTGTGAAATTGTCGCCACATTCTTAAGGCCTGCTGGGAGGCCCAGCACAGTGACGCCACGCGCGGACCGAAATTAGACCTCGCCATCCCTGGGGGGCTGCGATCTGTGAAACTGTCGCCAATTTCGACGCCTGCTGGGGGGCCCAGCAAAGTGACGCCACGGGCGGATTCAAATTAGACCTCGCCATCCCTGGGGGGCTGCGATCTGTGAAACTGTCGCCACTGTCGAGGCCTGCTGGGGGGCCCAGCAAAGTGACGCCACGGGCGGATTCAAATTAGACCTCGCCATCCCTGGGGGGCTGCGATCTGTGAAACTATCGCCATTTTCGAGGCCTGCTGGGGGGCCCAGCACAGTGACGCCACGGGCGGATTCAAATTAGACCTCGCCATCCCTGGGGGGCTGCGATCTGTGAAACTGTCGCCACTTTCGAGGCCTGCTGGGGGGCCCAGCACAGTGACGCCACGCGCGGACCAAATTAGACCTCGCCATCCCTGGGGGGCTGCGATCTGTGAAACTGTCGCCACTTTCGAGGCCTGCTGGGGGGCCCAGCACAGTGACGCCACGGGCGGATTCAAATTAGACCTCGCCATCCCTGGGGGGCTGCGATCTGTGAAACTGTCGCCACTTTCGAGGCCTGCTGGGGGGCCCAGCACAGTGACGCCACGGGCGGATTCAAATTAGACCTCGCCATCCCTAGGGGGCTGCGATCTGAAACTGTCGCCACTTTCGACGCCTGCGGGGGCTGCGATCTGTCAAGCTGTAGCCACTTTCGAGGCCTGCTGAGGGGCCCAGCACAGGCACGCCACGGGCGGATTCAAATTAGACCTCGCCATCCCTGGGGGGCTGCGATCTGTGAAACTGTCGCCGCTTTCGAGGCCTGCTGGGGGGCCCAGCACAGTGACGCCACGCGCGGACCGAAATTAGACCTCGCCATCCCTGGGGGGCTGCGATCTGTGAAACTGTCGCTATTTTCGAGGCCTGCTGGGGGGCCCAGCACAGTGATTAGACCTCGCCATCTCTCGGGGGCTGCGATATGAGATCCCCGCTTTCGAAGTGGCTAGGGGTGCTCAGGGATTGTAGCTAATCCGCTTTATCTAGTCCTTGTCCTGTAGCCAGTGTCCTGCGAGTCTCCCGAATTCCGTCTGCAGACATATGTAACCCTCGCTCCGTCATCGCCACCCTTATAAAGTGTTCTAATTTATGTGCGCCCCGCGTTTGCGCAGGGGTTGGGTACGTCGCCAGGGTAATTGAAGAATTATTGTATCGATTTCATCTTTATTCCCAACCCTCCTTGGTTGGGAATTCGTTTTGAATAGAGCACTGCGGTCTCCAGTT